AAAATTCAATTATATCTGTCCAAAAAACAGTGAAGAGCAAAACCTTTCTAAACAAAGGTAATGTCCACAGACAAAAACTGGTTATCATCCAAAAATAACAATAAATGATTAAGAAACAGACAATGTCACAAGCTTTGAATATCTAGGATCTATAATAAATAGCAATGCAAAGATTGTACAGCATTAAAATCAAAATTAAAATTGTTAGAGTATGCATCTTCCCTGTAGCTACCTCCGGATGTGAGTCGTGGACTATCTTCCAGTCCTTTAAAAAAAAAAGAAGGAAAGAAAATTTGGCATTTGAGCTGTAATGCTATAGAAAGATTCTCATAATACTATGGACAAAAGAGAGAAGAAATACTGACATTTTAAAAGATGTAAACATCATGGAAGATTGGCTTATAAACAGCATCCTGTCTCGGAAGCTGAGATATTTTGGTCATTTCAAACGCCATGGCAGATTGTAAAAATAATAGCAGAAGGCGTGGAATCAGGAAGGAAGGGCAAGGGCCGACCAACACGACGATGGACACAGGATATAAGTGACTCCTTGAAAATGAAAGTACACGAAGTGGGAGAAATGGCGAGAGACCGAGTTTCTTTTAAGCAGACTGTGATTGGAGCGGTGTTCTGCAAAGGCCCTGCTACATGATGATGATTTTCCTTTTTTTTTTTTTTTTTTTTTTTTTTTTTTTTTTTGTAAATTGTCTTTGCTTAACTTTGTAAAAACAAATTGGGCTTAAAGGTGAAATTTTTGTTCAGTAATATTATTCCATGTAATTCGGTATGTTGTATATTTCACAAAGGTTGGCAAATATGTCATTCTTTTTGGTGGGTCAAAGAGCGGAGTCCTTTCACAAGATGTTTGGATTTTCAGAATAGGTAAGTCAGCACGTCTCCCATCTGCTGGGCAAGTAGTTTTTTTTATATATTACCAATAGGAACATACTGCAATGAGTAGATATACACTCACAAACAAATAAACAATGGAACACTTCTTACAACAAATAAGGTTACCGGTTTTGTGACAGACGTGTTAGTTGACTAGATCTTTCTTGATATTAAACTGCGTCCAAATGTAGGACATAATTTGTTGTTTAAAAGCCCCACTCTGACTGTTACCGGGGGCCCTAATATGACCCAGTCTAGGGGTTTGGGGGGGGAGGGGGGTTTCTGGGACCTGTCCCTTGGTGATCCTCATCCAAATGGTGGCACTTTGTTTCACCGGGTATTTAATACTCTCTGTGATGTCATGGCGGGGTTGAACATCGGTCAGTCATCTTTCTTGATAGTGTGTCAGTGATTATGTCTATGTTCTTTTTTTTTTTTCACTGCTGGCCTACAGTTGTTTTTTTTCTTCATTTATCTTACTGCTTGAATTGCAAGCATTGCAGAGAGGATGTAGATAGATTTCTTGAAATTGCATGATACGTTGTATTAATTACTGTCGAATTTAACATATTTAATGCTTTTTCACATTATCCAGCCATCTTTTCCCTGGTCGTATTTCGTCCTGTAATCTGATGGTTCGATTTTTTTAGATACTGAATGACAAGCAGCTTTAATTATTTAACTTGTTTCATATCTATTTGTCATGCCCAGCCATCGTTTCCTTGTATTCCAATGTTCTATTCCAGTTTTCGCGTAGAAGGATGGTTGGGATTCATCCTGATTAATTTCCCACACCATTTAATTCTTTGACTTTCAATAATAATAAAGTTACTTACAGGCGTCGTCACCTTGATTTACTTACATATTTCTTTTTTTTTTCTCTACTAATTGCATTTTGTGTAAATTTAATGGCACGATTTGGGATTTTACGTTTATGATTACAAGCCAACAATGTCGCATACCAGCTTGCCCCAATTTTAAAACACCCTGCTGTCCCAGCTGAGATAAAAAGACAAATTATAAATACAATCTTTATACCGACATTAGGTTATCAATGTCAGACTTGGACATTAACAAAAGAACACGAAAGAAGACTAACCACCTGTGAAATGAGATGTTTGAGAATGGCTGCGAATAAAACCAGAAGAAATCGAGTGAGAAACGATGTGATTACAAGAACTATTGGAACCATACCCATCGTCAAATTTATTGAGAAGCAAAGAATGAAATGGTTTGGTCACCTATTGAGAATGGAACCAACGATGCCAGCATCAAAAGCATACAACATGAAAATCGAGACACCAAGAGGCAGGGGAAGACCAAGAAGAAGATGGATTAAAGGAGTCACCGACAACTTGAGACTTCATAACATCACGGCATATGAAGCGACTGAGCGCGCCCTGGCTCGGTTGCCGATCATCTGATAGACTGCGACGCCTAGCGGCACAAGCAGATTGTGACAAAAGAAGAAGATTAAAGAAAACTCTTCATATGGGATACAGGTTGGCACAAAGTATATGTTAATGCCTACAGCTGTTCCATTAAAGATACATACTCTGAGAAGCAAACAGGGGAGGCCACATTATGATAATGAGATCAGTAAATATTCGTCATTTTACTACTGCTGAGTAACATTTAATAATTACAAAGAAAACTGACCCTCCAAAATGCAACATCAAATTAAATGGCACAAATCTTAAGGCAGTGAATATGTTTAAGTATTTGGGTACCTTGATAACATCAGATGGAAGATGTATTAAAGAAGTTACAAATGTAAAATAATAGCTCAAGCAAAGGCAGCATTTTATAAAATGAAAAATATTTTATGCAGTCTTTCTTTGTCAACTGAGACGAGAAAGAGAATTCTTAAAAGATATATAAAACTTATCTAGAAAAATGGAAGTAAATCATAGACACTTGGCAAATTGGTGAAAACTTATTTGGAAGCTGCGGATGTCTGGTTTTATTGACAAATGATGAGAATACCCTGGACATATAAAAAGAGTGATTACGTATCAAGGGAAACTGACTCTCAAAGAGAACTGATTGCCCACATCAGAAATGGACAATCTACATTTGAGACAATCTACATTCTTTATTCACATGATGAGAAGGAGAAAACTGGGGTACATCATGACAGATGAAAAGTTGGAGGGGGTATGAGGTAGAGGGAGACTGAAAGAACAGATGCTGGACAGTTTGACATCGCGGCATGGAGAATCATCTATGTCAGAGTTGATTCAAAGTAAACGAGACAGAAGGTTTTGAACAGACATGTCTGCTAATGCCACACAGCATAGACTTTATGAAAAAGAAGTAATATTACTACTACTACTACTACTACTACTACTACTACTACTACTACTACTACTACTACTACTACTACTACTACTACTACTACTACTACTACTACTACTACAACTACTACTACTACTAATATTACTACTACTACTATTACTACTACTACTACTACTACTACTACTACTACTATTACTACTACTACTAACACCACCACTGCTGCTCCTTCTACTACTGCGGCTGCTGCTGCTGTTTTGTCTTACAGTAATTTAACAAAATATTGTTCATGATATTTCAACAGATACATTGACATGGAGGCATGTAACAACTCAGCAAGGTGATCTATGCCCGCCCATAACACTTCATACATCTGTCCTTCTCAGTGCAGATCCATCACAGAACACTGTAAAATGTCGTGCTCAATCTTTGCCTTATTTAAAAGCGCAGCCGGTCGTCAGTTCTAAACTCACAAGTGGCCGACCACGGACAAGTCCAGCCGCCAACTCAGGCAATGAATACATTTCATCGGAGTCAGAAGCTTTTCATGTTGCCGATGTTCTTCGCCTGGACATGGTCAGAACTCACCTGGATGGCAACAACAATAACAACCAAGGAGTCATTCATGGGAGAGCAGACTTGCAGGCAATGGAGGCAGAAACATCTTTCTTTACTTCGGATTATAATCCCAATGTCACTGGACCATCAGCAGAACCAGCAAACCATGAGCTTAGTGCAAAAACTGGTTCCTATTCTTGTGAAGGGCATTCTGAAAACTTAGGTAAGATATTAGGGCAGCATTCTGAAGTAAGCAAAATACAGCCAGCATCAAATGAATATTGCAAGGATGTCATACCTCTCCTTGAAAGATTTCATTCAGTCACTTCTGATGTTGACCTTGGAGAGAATAACTTAACCATTACTTTATCAGACGAGGAAGTGTTTCAGTCTGCATTGTCACAAGACAGAATGCAGCAAAATAATCTCAGCAAGTGTTCCCATATGTGTCAGAACAACACACGACATATGGGACAATGTGCTGCTGACACGTTTTTCCATAACACGTTTTCTAAGACAGCATTTGTAACAAATGGCAAACTTTCAGTCAAAGAGCAGGACAAACAGTTACTGAACTTTGAAATGTCACATCATACAGGTGAACATTATATGCCAAATTATGTTGCCAAATGTGTTCTGTCTGAAAATGATGAAACTTCTGATGTAACAATAAAATATAGCGGGTCTAACTGTTTAAGTAACTATCAGACTGCAGAGTTGGTAGATACAAAAAGTGTACATCCATTCTCAAAATTAGAATGTGGTGATAAATTAGTAACATCTATTTCTAGTCTTCCTTGTGATCTTCCTCGCCTGTCGGTAAGGAAAGAAAAGGCATCGCAAAAGTCAACAAAATATATGTCTGATTTAACTGTTGAAGATTTAGAATCAATTGACATTTCTGAACTCTTTAATAATATCAAAATACCCAGCCCACCAAAATCATATTTTAGATCATATTCTTTAAAAAATGTGTATAGTTGTATAAATGACCTCTTCGATCACGTAGGAGCACCTGACTTGTCCAAAAGCCAGTGGACGGTTTCTTGTGGCAATCTTGTATCATGGCAGAACAATGAATGTGGAGTGGAAAATATAAAGTCCCAGTCTTGGATTGGTAGAAATGCAATAACAACGCTAAAAGAAATTCAAAAGAAGAAAGAAACATTATTGCTTGAGAAACAGCCCAGGTCGGGGAAATATATCAAACATTGTGTCCCCTATACCTGGAGGTGTCCACCGTATCATCTGAGATTTCAAGAAGGCCTCTTCAAATATCCTGAATCTACACAAGTTTCTGTTGGTACCCAAACCACGGATTCTCAGACGTCACTACCGGGACCCAAGCCTTGTTTAACAGCAGCTCACCTTGATTCTAAAGTGGACCACAGTGTACATCACATAACACGCGTTGGTAGGGCTCAGCATGAGTCAGTACAATCAACACAAGAGCAAATAAAGTCAGTGATATCGGCCAACAACAAAGGGTTTATGGAAGGAACATTGTGTGTTCTAGTTATAGGTGGTCAAATGGAGAATCATGGTTTTCAGACCGAGCCATTGAAAATGTGGCGATGTTGTCTGCATTGACTATGGGCTGAACTTTATGTTTGTAAAGAGCTTTATATAAAGGTAAAGATAAAGTCAGGAGATGTGAACCAGCGTCATTGCACACGGTTATAAACTATAAGTGCTCTGTCACCAGTACGGACAGCTGATAAGAAACTGTCGGCCTGTGTCGCCGTCCGCACGTAACTCTGTAGCTACAGTGACGTTTCTCCATTTACCCCAGAGTGTTAACTCTGGTACCATTACCTAGATGCTGGGTGAATCCTGGAAACAATCAACACAAGAGCAAATAAAGCCAGTGACAACGGCCAACAACAGTGCGTTTATAGGAGAAACATTGTGTGTTCTAGTTATAGGTGGTCAAATGAAGAATCATGGTTTTCAGACCGAGCCATTGAAAATGTGGCGATGTTGTCTGCATTTACTATGGGCTGAACTTTATGTTTGTAAAGAGCTATATATAAAGGTAAAGATAAAGTCAGGAGATGTGAACCAGCGTCATTGCGCACCGTTATAAACCATGTGCTCTGCCACCAGTACGGACAGCTGATAAGAAACTGTCGGCCTGTGTCGCCGTCCGCACGCAACTCCGTAGCTACAGTGACGTTTCTCCATTTACCCCAGAGTGTTAACTCTGGTACCATTACCTAGATGCTGGTTGAAACATGGGAACCGGCCGGTTTCGAACACCGGCCATATGCTGCAGCGAGTCGTGGCTGGATTTGAAAGCGAGTCAGCTATATATGAGTAGAGGCAGTTCAACACTCAATATATGTCGAGATTGTAAAAAGTAAAGAACATTCTTTATACCAGTAGCGCATTGGTCATATCATGGGTGATGTGGTCAACATAACTCTGGTTGCAACTTCTTTTCCAGAGATTTCATGGTCTAATTTTTAGACTGAGTAGACCTGGCAGCAAAAGTCAGTTAATCAAAAATCCGTCTCGATACAGACTCACGCCCATGACATTCGGATCAGAAAGCAAGCGCCAAGCAACTGCGCTGTACTGAAGTGTGCATAAGAAATATTGTGGATTAATTCCCATTATTGTCGCAACGGTTTTGAAATGGATAGTGATACAACATTTGTGGATTCAATGGCTTGTGGTGGCTTGGTTATTTCCTGCGGTAAGCCCAACCTTGGGAAATTGGTACTACAGATGTAATTAGACAGGCAACGATTGTTAACATATGATCACACCACCATTGTATAATTTTTAGTAACTATATGCATTTAATACCAAATACACATTACCCAAGGTATGGGGGAGGGGGGGGGGGGCCTTAAATTGCATTAATTTTTCTAATTAATGTAGAAATAGAAGGAGGAAAAGATGGAGAATGTAACAGTATGAAATTAAAATAGACAAACGGCATATACTGTAACCTTACAAAGTTAAAAACATATTCACAATTATATACTTACTGATGGTATTACATTTTAATAATTGTCTGTTTTAAAATGTGTCTTGTAAGAAGCAATCGATCAGATTTATATCTTTATTTAAGATCACTAAGTTTTCTTGAAAACTTTTGGAGTAATGAAAAGTTTGTCCTAGCTCCCTACTTTTATACCAGGCAGCAGTCAGTGGATTTTGGGATTAATTTTATGCTGGGTGGCGTGAAGCTGACTACATTAGCCACCAAGTCTAATAAGTATAGGTCTTGCCCTACATGCTCTATACGCCTGAAAGCGTAGAAAATTGTCATTTTTGTTTTGTTACGCTGGTTGCCTTTACTTTCCAGTATATTTCTCCTGGTTTCATTTAAGCTGGCTCGATCTAGAAGTCCATGCCTATTGTATTTTTCAAACGTCTCTTTATTTTTTGTAGATTCGCCTCCTGAAGGAGCCGGGTTTATTTACAAAAATGACCTTAACTCCCAGGTGGACCCAGCCTCCAGTGGGTACCAGGTGCAGTCCTGGGAAGTAAAGGCGGCCGGCGTGATGCTGACCACATCATCCCCCCCCCCCCAGTGCCGAATGGTCTAGCCCTATATTCCTGCCTTAAGGCGTGAAAAAGGGGACCTTTATAAGGCTAATCCAGTTCCAGCGAATACTGGTCGAAAAATAAATCCGTCAATTTCTTGGGACTGACCACATTCCGCTTTATGAGCAAATACACTAACCCCAGGGTTCTCCATTACCCCCAGGGAAGGGGGCTGCGTGGTCTTGAGGCATGGTGTCTGCCTCGAGTGCTAGAGCTTCCGGGGTTTAATCCTCGTTAAGGGCTGGGATTTTTTCTCGTGGACTTGGACTTCTAGTAATTCCCCCTGGTCTCTGGGTAGTGATATCAGACGCCCGTGTGCATTGTTGCGTACGTAAAAAAATCCCTTGGCAGTTGGAAATCAAAAAGGGTAGCCTAACGGCCATGCCCGGGCAAAACTTTGTGTTAAAAATCTACCCAAAGTATTTCAAAATCCTCACCAGTGCTACAGAGCCTGTGCACTGTGCTGAGCTTCTTCGGACTCAGACTTGAGTTAGAAAAAGAACGGAGCACTTATGGGTTACAAACCGTGTGCTATTATGCTAATCCCTTGTTCAAACTTCAAACTTTTCCATTACCCTAGTCCTGCGCCCGCTATGGTGTTATTTACACTGTGGGTACACTGTTGTTATTCAGATATAATGACTACACTTTATGTGGTACATTCGATGCTGAGTTTTTCTTGTTAAAACTTTTTTTTTTAAACAAATACCCATGCTATTCTAATTATAGGTTTGATACACTTGAAACACCAAAAAAAAAATCATTTACTGCAGATACTAGTATACCTTTTAACGGGATTCTTGTTTTATTCATCAGGAGTATTTGTTTCCCATGATCCATGACATATTTATGATTTCAGGGATAATGTTTGATGCTGATAACATAAACCTAATCATTTATCCTTCCTGAGGCTACACAGACCGATGTGAGCCATGAGGCATTTCACAATTTTTAAATAGAAAATTGAGCCTTTTTAAATTCAAATCTAATAGAAAACATATTATAATATCAAGATTCGAGAAGAATTTTAAAAGAATAAGATTCTTCTAGATCAGAAAATCCAAAAAAAAACTGGCTTAGAAGCAGTACATGACTGGGAAAGTGAATAATTTTGGTAGTATTAAATGCTCAAATGGTCTTTGAAATACTGGCGCCGACATAAAGAGCATAGAGTCCACACGGTAGGAGATGTGCAAAGTTTAATTATTATGTGCCGAATGACAAATAAATCTAACAAGACATACAAATTAATGTGTACTGTATAGACATCATCATCTTCATGTAGCAGGTGCTTTGCAGAACGTCGCTCTCATCACAGTCTGCCTGAAAGAAACTCAGTCTCTCACCAGTTCTCCCGCCTCATGCTCTTTCATGCTCAAGGAGTCACTTATATCCTGTGCCCATCTTCGTGTCGGTCGGCCCCTACCCCTCCTTCCTGGTACCATGCCTTCTGCTATAATTTTTTTCCAATCCGTTGAGGCGCTTGATATGACCAAAATATTTCAGCTTTTGATAAAGGATGCTGTTTATTAGCCAATCTTCCTTGATGTTAGGATCTTTTAATCTGTCCAGGGTTTTCTCATCACCCGTCTATGCAACCACATCTCCGTAGCTTCGAAATAATTTTTCACTAATCTACCAATTGTCCATGATTCACTTCCGCATATCAAGACAAGATTTATATTTCATGTTAGCGAACATTTAATGTTAATTTAAATAATAGAGCTTTCAGGTTTAATGGAGTACCAGGTAAAGTCCAGAGAAGCAAAGGCATCCGGCATTTGACTACATCACGCACCGAGTGCCGACTGATCTAGAAAATATAAGTCTAGCACTATACATACAATATGTCTGACAACATGGAAAAGCGTCCTTTGAACAATTTATTAGCTGGCATATTTTGCTGAATTTCGTAGGATCTACATCAAAATTTAATCTTGAGAAAAAAAAGATTAGGTCAGGCAATAAATGGAGCATTATACTGTCTGTGTTTTTACTGTAGCATTAAAATTCACAAGGGGAAAACATTGATACACATTAATCTCTTATTGTAGCACTCTTCAGTATCATTTTCCAAAATGGTGTGCTGAATACATGCAGATTCTTTTAAAAATGCACTCTTTGCGCACACAAAAATATTGCTATTTTGTCCTCCAATTTCAACTTCCTTAGCCCTCGTGTGGCTTCTGGGTCCCATGGGGGGGGGGGGGGAAGGAGAGAACCTCATGCCTCTCCAACGAGCATGTTGTAAGAGTTGACTTACTGGGAGCTTTCGTTGAAGTCGGAGTGCATCTACCTTAGAAGCATGTGACAGTCTGCACACAAAAAGTCCAATCTGTAAAATGGATGTGCACATAACCCTCAGGTCCTGGAACAAGAGTAAAGTCAAGAGGTGAACGAACAGTCAGAATTTCCCCCTGAGTTTACAGCCGGTGAAGGCGAAGAAGAAGAAGAAGAAGAAGGATTCTTTCGAGATGCTAGATGTTTCAGAATACCATCTTGCTGTATATTGAAAATGTCAGGTTATAAAACGCATCCTTTTCATTGCCCTGATTTCATTATATCCATCACATATGAGGACAGACTCTTGCTTATATATTACTTGTAGATTATCTGTAAATAACCTTGGCTCTCATATCAAAAGGAACTATTTTTGCATAATATAGATTCCAGTCAATGTCATGTGAAGTCAAAACCTGCCTTTTTGGTATTGATCACATCACTCACTGAGTGCTGACTGGTCTATAAAACTATGAGTCTAACAACATATGGCTGATGTGCCACTGTTGTGTAAATGATTCTTTACTTTATGTTTTCCTGAATTATTCTGGCACTGGAGTCCATTCGAAACAAAGATGTCTTGATCTCATGCTTGTTTAAAAGATTATTTTGAATACTGTAACAATGTGAATTGTATCTTACCATATTCTGCTACAGTGAATAGCTTTCCAATTGATCATTCCCTCCTACACCCTTTACCCACAGGACAGCAGCATACACCAGGGCAGAACTTGGTTTTAACAGGTAGGAAT